CTACTGCGCAGTAGCAACGTGCCACAGTTTTTGCCACATGACACTACTGCACAGTAGTATCAGGCTACTGCACAGTCAGCTTCTCAAGTAGAGGTGGCCTTTGTGTACCAAACACACATATGTGCTCTATGTAAACTGTCTAAACTATGAATGCACTATGTCCAAACAAAGCGCTGTGTTTGTTTGCAGAAGGCTCTTTGTACACAGTGAACTTTGCCCAACATATTCAGTCCTATTGTATGCAGAAATGTTTTTTCTTTCAAAATGTGCCTGACATAGGCCATATCTAGGCCATGCTGCACCTATCCTTTAATCTCAAAGAATCCAGGATTGTGTGCACTCCATAGATTCTCCTATGCCTGACTCACAAAGGGAGACTTATGTAGGACTGCTAGGGTCAGGAAGCTTAAATCATTTAGTTACCTCTTTACCTCAGAGACTTTATAATATTATCGGCTTATTTCTGTCCTGGACAGGAACTACTGGGATAGAGGAACAGAGAGCAGGCAGGATTTGGGCTCATAATGGAACTGTTGGTAGTATTTCTAAAGGTGAAGATTAATAATTTTTGATGCTAACATTTGACTGTAGAGAATCATTTTACTCTATATTACTAAACATCTATGGGATTTCTTTGCTAAACAATGGTCCTAGGTGTACATAGGCATTTGCCAGCTGGGGGCATGTCCAGATGGGTGTGCACGTGGCACGTGCAACTATTCACTGCACTGCTAATTTGCAGTGTGGTGCCAAAATTTGATACTGGGAGATCTCAGTGTCACAAAATACCACTGCAAAAAGTGGCATGGCGCATGCTACAGGAGCATATGACAGGAGGCATAGAGGCTTGGAAGCTTGATCCTCCCGGGAGACACTCTGGCTGCTGGCCAGAGCATCTCCCCTCCTCTAGTTGTCTCTTGGCTCCTCCAGCATGCTGGGAACCAGAAGGAGCAGGGAAATGGCCATTTTCCCAAAGCGGGGCATTTTGCCCTGCACCACAACCCTCATGCAGTGGCATATGCAGCTTCAAAAAGCAGAAGCACAAATTTGTGCTGCTGTTATTTTTGTGGCAGCACACTCACATCCCTGCACATGTGCGCTTGTCTGGATGTGCCCTGTGAGCTCAAATCAGAGAAAAAATAAGTTACTTACAGATATTTTTAATGTAGACTTTTATTTTTGTTTTTTCATACTACATTTTTAATTATAACTTGCAAATGGATTTGCAGGACATTAGGAAGTGAATGTACAAAACCCAGTTCTTATCTTTTTAATAGTTTGTTGTTTATGCCTAGGCATAATGTGTGAAAAACTGCATAGCAAATGGGAAAAATACACCTTTTCTTCAAAAGAATCAGATGGTATTATCTAGCAGGCAGGCACCAGTCTGACACTTCTTAACAGTGGGAAGAAAACTGAAAGGAGCAAACTGCAAGTTATGAATAATAAAATGTTAGAATAAGTATCAGAGACCAGAGTTTAGAAAAAGAAGTCTTAAAAACAGATGGTAAGTTTCGGAGATGTGGTTCAAAGGCAAGTTACTGAGTTTAAACACAGGAGAAATTGGGTGAAATGCCATGGCTTGATTGCACAGGAGGTTGGACTACATGGTGCAATAGTGTTCTGGGATTTAAAGAAACCCTATGCATTTATGGAGCTAAGAATCTTGATTAATCTTTTGTCATGACCCCAAAGGCATGCTTACTGGAAAGAGAACAGGGGACCTCCATAGACACAAATGGACTACAGGGGAAGCAGATTCTCACTTCAGTTCATCCCCAGAATGTCCTCTTCTCTTGTTTCCCAGTATTTGGAGTAACTGTACATATGGCCCAAAAAAGCCTCCCAGATGTTATTGTATCCAGGAGTGGATAGAGGGGAGGGTAGTGGCATGGTCACAGCCTCTACTTTGGAACATACCATGGAAGCAGTGACTGGAGACTTTTTTAAAGCCCCCAAAACAGGTAAGAAAGAAGTCTTCCTCTCCATGGTCAGCAGCATGTTCCCTCTCTCAACCCCCATTATTCCCCCTCTTCCCTTCCCCAACCTGTTGCTGCTTTTGTTCCTGCTGTCTATAGTTAACTTATGGGCAGGGAGAATTTCAGAGCTGCACCTGCCCTGCTCCAGCCTAGGTGCATGAGGAGCACAGCTCAGCGGGGGACAGCAGCAGTGGTGAGGATAGGCAGGCTACTTCTCCTTTTCTGGTCCTCCTGGGTGTTCTCTGCCAAGCCAGGACAAGGAGTGGAACCCACCCACCACTGCTGCCACCCCCTGCTGAGCCTGGTTCTCCACACAGCAGGGCAAGAGCAACTCTGGAGCTCCCCCTGCCTCCAGGGCAGCTGAAGACAGCAGGCACATCTGAAGTGGAAGGGGAGGGTGGGCATGGGTAGGGGAAGGACATGTTGTTGAGCATGGAGTAGAAGTAGGGGTGCTGAGAGTGGATGGCGGGGGGAGGTACTTACCTGCTTCAGGGACTTAAAGAAGTACCAGATTTTTGTTTCCCAGTGGGGTGGGAAAGCTGGGAGCAGGGGTGGCACCACACTGCAATGCCAGTGCTGCTCCCACACCCCACCGCTGCAAAATCTTGGATCTGCCCATGATTGTATGGGGGTGTAAGTGGGTTGCGGTGGTGGCTCCAACGTAGATGGGTTCTGTCTCCTTAGGAGCCTCTCAGCCAGTCCAAACAATGGTCCATCACATAAACAATACCCTTGACTGAAACAACAAACACATGAACAAAAGTAAAAACTTTTGGCTTTTTCCCAGGCAGCAGGTGAGAGCCCTTCAGCTCTGTCCCTTCCTAGGAATGAGCTCTCCTGAATTGCTATCTGCCTCTGGGCCACAGACTTGTTTCTTCCCCAGGTCAACTTGTTCTTTCCCTGCTTGGGCTTTTACCCCCAAGCTAATCCCTTATACATGGGCTCCTACCTGGGGCTGGCTGCCACACTTAAAGGGCCAGAGTGTCCTGTTACATATTCTGCACCTCCTCCCCACACCCCAAGCATGGAGTCTGGGAATCCCTTTTCCACATTCAAACCCCCTCCACTTCTATGACAAGAAGTCTGTATTGGCATGGATTGCTCCAGAATGATGGTGGACATCACACGCCTAGGTCTCCAATACCGGGTACCAGGGTGTGAGCCAGGGGTTGTCTCACTTCAGTGGGTGTAGCCATGGCAGGGGGGCATGTTCTGTGACTAGAGTAAGTGGGGCCCTGAGGAGTTAGTAGTGGAGGGTTCAATCATCCATATGATCACTAGACACTCCTTTTCAAACCATAGAATATCTTTGTTCCTGAGGAACAAGTTTCCAGTTTTGATACAGAGTGAATATTCCCCTTCTTAAAAGTCTTGAGAAAGCATGGCTCCTAAGCCTCATTCTGAAGCATCTATTTATAGGACAAACCTCTGTTTAAAGTCTGGGCTGTGTAATACTAGGGCGGTACATAGAATCTGCTTTATCTCTCTCAAGGCCAAAGTGTCCACTTGTGCACACTGTTTTGGGTGTGGTCTTACACAGACGGTCTGTCAGTGTGGTGGTAAGTGCTGAAAATGGTGGTGTAAAGTGGTGGTAATAGCTATTTAACCCTAGAAAGGACTTTAGCTGAAGGAACTTTAGACTTTACAGAATCCATCAGATGTTAGAAGGTGGTCAGGGTGCTGTGGAGACCAAAGGCGAGGATCTTAAATTGATGCAGCCCCAGGGTACTGTAAATACAGTTTGCTGATGGGATTCGGAAACAAGGGGGATGTGCCAGTATCCCTTTGCAAAATCAAGGGTAGATACATATTTGACCTACCCCAGCCGTTGTATCCCAAGGCATTGGATATGCATTGTACTTTAATACAGCATTTAATTTGTAGAAGTCAATACAGAAATGTATTTTTTGTCTGGTTTGTGCACTAGCTCAATTAGGCTGCATCATTCTCTTGAAGATTCTTAAGTCATGCCCAGCTCTAAAATATTTTGTACTTTCCTCTTTACTATCTCCTTTAGTTGCTTGGAACTCCATTTTAAACTGAACAACAGGGCCTTAGGATGATTTGGAGATTAATTAAGGTGGTTCTTGTTGACTTGGTGGTAAACACATCTGGAAACTCTTTCAGTAGGTCCCTGGCCTCTTTCTATCAGGATAGCAATAAATTCTTTCCGTGTATGACCCCACTAGATGGGAGCTAACTGGGACTAGCCACATCTTTCAGAACTTCTGGGAAAACCTTTGCTGTGCTTAGTGCTTCCCCAGCCCATCAGGGTTTTAAGAGGTTGGTGTGATATATCTGTGACCTATGTTGTCTTCCCACAAGCCACACCTTACTGTCAGTACCTCTCACTCACCTTTTATCTTCATATGGTCCTTGCAAGTTAGGGAGAA